GTCTGGGATTGACGTCGAAAGCTATGGGAGGGGCTTGGTTCCTCTGAGCAGGTTCCGCAGAATCGGCGAGGGCGAAAGCACTGGTGGCTTCGACAATTTCTTCGATGTATGCGACCGTTGTTCCTTTGTTCACATGTTTGTACTCATTGCTGAAATTCGTGAGCATAACCGTTGCTTTGCCTCCCCGCAGCTCTGCAATTCCTCTTGCGACGCAAATATTTCGGGTGACCAACAGATGCTGACTGCCTTCAACGACGCCTTCCAAGTCAGGTGATTTAGGAGCGCCGACTGAAATAATGACGCTTGAGCGAGGCGGAATGGTGACTTGTTCTTCCAGCACATTCAAGGCATGGTGTCCTGACGGCGCGCGCGGCGGTAGTGCTTCTTCTGTGGATAACGTTATCGACCTTGTTTTTAGGTTGATGACAGCACCATGGAGGCATAAGAAGTCCATGCCAAGGATGACATCTCTCGAGCAACGCTGTAGGACTACGAAGTCTGTAGGATAAATACGGCCGTTAATGGTGACTCTCGCTGTGCAGATTCCTGCAGGCGTTACGAGATGACCTCCGGCTGTGCGGATTTCAGGGCCTTTCCAAGGTGTCCTAACTTTCTTTAACTTCGCGGCGAACGACCCACTGATGACAGAATAGTCGGCTCCAGTATCGACGAGAGCAGTCACACTGTGGCCGTCGATAAGAACGTCGAGGTCGCTAGTTCGCCGTCTCGCATTACAGTTAGGGCGTGGCGTCGGGTCACGGCTGCGTCGGCTTGTTCCGCTGCTTTCATGTTGCGTCGTCCGGCCACCTTCGGTAAGTGAGCTTTTGCCTTCAGGGCTTTTCTTGGTTGGGGTTGTGTTCAAAAACCTCCGTCGCGTCGTCGTCGTCGTCGGAGGATCTTCGGTAGTTCGTCGCACAGCAACCGCACCTCCATCGGTTGATGCCCTTAGTTTCCCGGATACGGGCTAGAAGACCGGCCCCGCGTTGGGCCAGAGTACTGCCGGGGGTGTGGTGACATGCGGCGGCTGGGCGACGGCGAACGGGAAGGACTTCGTGGTGTCCATTGCGTTCCTGCCAGGTAGTCGGCGATGTCATGTGGCCGATCTCCTGGCTGCGGACGCGGTGCAGTGACGGCGAAGCCACGCAGTCCCATCTGTCGGTACTGGTAACGGCGGTATGTGTGCCCGGCCTCGCCGCAGTGGTAGCAGAGCGGGCGGTTGTCAGGTGCACGCCAAACGTTCGTTTTTTTCGGTGCACTGCGCTGGCCCGCTGGGGAACGGTAGGACGTCGGTTGGGGTGGTGGCAGCGGTGGCGTCTGGCGACGGAAGTGTGACGGGGCGGCGTTTTGGCGTGGACGGGGAGGAGCGCTGTGGCGCACTGCAGCGGCGTAGCTCATAGTTTCTGGCTCGGGCGGCGGTGTTTCGGGAATTCGAAGCGATTGCCGGACTTCTTCTCGCACAATGTCGGCGATTGAATCCACTTGAGGCTGCGCCGAAGGCAACAGTTTGCGCAGCTCTTCCCGCACGATCGCTCGGATCGTTTCACGCAGGTCGTCGGAGTCACTGGCTTGAGCAGCAGCGCATTCTGGAGTCAGGCGACGATTATACTGTCTGGTGCGCATGTCCAGCGTTTTTTCGATGGTGGTCGCCTCGGATAGAAATTCTTGGACGGTGTTCGATGGGTTCCTCATTAGTCCCGCGAAGAGCTCCTGTTTGACCCCTCGCATGAGGAAACGAACTTTCTTTTCCTCAGGCATGTCTGGGTCAGCGTGACGGAATAGGCGGGTCATCTCCTCTGTGAAAATTCCAACCTTTTCGTTTGGTAGCTGAACCCGGGTCTCGAGTAGAGCAGCGGCCCTCTCTTTGCGAGCGACGCTTGCGAACGTTTGAAGAAATGCGCCGCAGAAGACATCCCACGTTTGGAGCGTGGACTCCCGATTCTCTATCCAGGTCCTTGCGGTGTCTTCCAAGTAGAAGTACACACGACGGAGCTTTTCTTCGTTGTCCCAGTGGTTGAGGGCGGCCACACGGTCGTATGTTTCTAGCCAGGTTTCCGGGTCTTCAAACGATGAGCCATGGAACGTTGGTGGTTCCCTGGGTTGATGAATGACGATCGCGGGCTGGGACGCTCCGGTTGTCATTGTCGCTGCAGTCGAGGTCATGGTCTTGGTCTTCCGCGCCTTGTCTTGTAGCAGGCCGTACTCCGGTGGGAGACCTTGCTGTCGGCGGCTCGTTCGCTGCTCTTGGTTGGCGTCGGTGTCTTCTCCGCGAAGGGGGCTGGGTTCACGGCTTGACGGGGGCGTCCGGTACATGAACGAAGCAGCACCTCCACCAGATGTCACGGGGTCGTGACGTGGCCAAAGACAGGAGACTTCGTATTGGGATTTAACTGTTTATTTGGGCGAACCTGTGCCCGGTAAAGGGAAAGTCTAATTACAGCAGCAGTCTTGCACAGATAGCAGTCTCGGACTGATAGCGGCGAACGCAGCGTCGGCCTTCGATCAACAACTCACAAGCGGCGAAGCGCGTCGGCATTTATACCCTTGCCGTCGAATGTTCTAGCGTTATCGCTGGCGGTGGCGTAGGTTCCAGAACAATCTGTACCGTTCGCACAGTGGGCGTGATCTTATCGAAATGATCTACCACAGTCCGGAACCCTCTAGAAACCTGCAGGCGCGGCTTGCGCCGAGAATCGTGCGGTGCTTCGGAACGATAACAAAAACTTGTGAAATGGAACGTGGCAATATTTAGTTGCAGGTCCGGAGGCTCCTGGCAGACGCCTAGGCGTGGGACCCGCACCGCCTAGCATTCTTATATTACAATTGCATTCTCATCCTCCTCCTTACAACGAGCTAGCCGTGGCCGGTGCGCTCTTTGGACTTAGATCTGATGGCAACAAACTTAGCGACGCGCTGAAAAAAAAACACAAGAGGGGCGCGTAATGCCACAAACTCCAGCTCCAGTGCTCTTGGTCTGTCACTGTCGCTTTCTTTGGTTGACCCACCAAGATAGCTTTACGGTGACGGTGTGGCGCTGCTGAGGTCGAAGACGAGGGTTTCGTTTCCAGCTACGACGGCCGCATATCAATGGGAGTGAAATACAAAAAAAAAATCACAGCATATCCACGGATTGAATGATGATGAGTGGGGCGAAGCATCCGTCCGTCCAACTGTGGGTCGATCTGTCCGTCAGTCTGTCTATATCTCCGTCTGTCTAGTGAGCACTCCAAGTAACATCATCTCGCATCTTTTCATCATATACTGATTATATTCAAGTACCGCCATCTAGCGGACATTCTAAGGACTAAACTCGCCTATGGCACATACTCGAGAGAGGTGGTTACTACAGAGGACGATTGGGTGACGCCTTAAGGAGCTAAGGTGGTTGCTTGGGCGAGTTGGTACGACATGATTCACTTAAAAAAACAGCGCCAATAATGAGGGACAAGAGAAAGAAGGAGACAGACAGCGGCACAGACACAGCAGTGCGCCTTAAGGAGCTTCGCCCCTAAAAACACCAGCGTCGTCAGGTTTAAGTCCAGGTTACGGAACCCGAAGTGGTCAAACTTATTTTGGAGTTCCCCATCATGGTGTTCTTTATAATCACAGTGGTGGGGGGCGCATACATTTTGGGACGTGTTTTTAAGTGGCGTGCCCATATTGTGAAGCAGTATTACGCTCATCCAATCAAAAGCACGACTGTGCTTCGGCATTGTGTACTGCTGTTTCTCGGTGGACTAGTGTATAACCACTTCACGGTATGGAGACGTCACAAATCAAGATATTGGGCAACCATTGGATAGCACAGCGTTTGATTTACAATACTGGAACGCGAAACACTCTCGATATTTTTTTTTCCTTCGGTTTACTGCTGAGAGCCATGAGTTCAATGTGCAGAGTATTTCGGTCACAACTCGCTCAGGAAAGTCGTACAGACCGTAATAGTGCACCTTCTACAGTGACTGGAAAGCCAAAAATATAGATGCTACTCCCAACAGACCTGCTCTCTTTTCCTTCCACATGAAAACAAGAAAGTTTCTCATTATTGCGCAAACATATAAAGGCGCCGTCTTTTCTGGGTAGCATAAAAACCCGCCCCGATCATGTGCACACGACCCGTACAATGTGTAACAAACTGCGCGGGCCCTTAAAAAACTCGCCACAAAAACAAACACTCGCGCCGGAAGCTCGGCAGTGACGAGTCCAGCCGATAAAGAAATACGCTAAGAAATTTTATTAGAACTAAGCGGGAGCGCTACAAATATAATATGTGCACACATCCACGACGCGCCATGACTAGCAGTGTTCCTCGAAAGTAGCACGCCCTTCGACAAGTATAGCATGCTGCATCACACTTCCGGAGAGTGGAGGGGCGACTGGACGACCTAGTGAGCAACACGGCGAATGAAATATATGGTATGAAACAACGTTCGTGCGATAATGAATGTTCTCGCCAATCACTACTGCGCAATTTATTGCACGACTGCCTTTTTTTTTCTATCGAGTCAGTGACTACGAGAGACGAGGCAGCAGTCCAATGCTACAAAATTCGCATAATTACATGACTTGACGAGTGCTATCTATAGGATCATTTGGCAATTCATTTACAGTGCGGGAGAGTACTGGATGACGGAGCCTGAGCAAGGCACACAGGCGGTCTCATCTGTGTTTTTGCATACCTTATGTTGTCTTCTGTCGCATTTTCGCACTCCGTCGTTTTAAGTTTCGGTTTCCCGTACGAACTAGCAGTACTCTTATGTTATATCCAAACGAAACGAGAGAAAGTTCACATGCGTATACACCAAGCTGCAGTTCACAGTCGAGGCAACTTGGTCGGTCTATTGCAATAATCATAATTCTAGTCACCGGAAAGACAGCCGCTAAACATTTTATGCAACCGACAGCCAACTCAGTGATTGATGCCAGCGGCTTGCGCAACCCCTTATCTTAGAGAATGGCTTGCCATAATGCGTAGCTAAGCGATATAGGTGCCATTTTTGCAGCCTCGCAGGAGTTTCCCGAAGCGTGACGATCGCCGTAGCCTACGTGATGTCCGTGACCAGCCTCAACTGGCGTGAAGCACTCAAAGCCGTGCGTGGAGCCCGGAGTATCGCCAATCCGAACTTCGGGTTCCAGAAACAACTGCACGAGTACGAGTGCAAGAAACTGCACGAGGTGAGTGCTGCCCCTATTCTCTTTGCGCGACATTGGGAAGGAATTGTGCGCCTGTACCTGCGCCGACAAAGCGCTTTTCGTCTAGTTGAAGTGCGCCGACGGCAAAACGCCCGTGCTTTGCTTACCACTGTGACATACATATGCGCGCGTGTTAATTCCGGCCATAACAAGAAAATTAAAGCGACGTCCTTTTCATATTCATGGTGACGCTGGGAAGGCGATTAGCATAAATGTCACGCAGTCTGTCATCGACTACCACAAGAGACCGCTGCACCTGCGAAGACAAAGGCACAGCCCGAACAAATTTTTTTAGGTGAGGGGAGGGAGGGGAGAGGGCTGTAAACCAAACTTTACGTAAGTTCGTGCGTGTGTTTGTAAATGTCCGGTTACATATACGCACTCAAAATGGGAAAACAATTCAGGGGTTTGGCCACCTCCATCACCCCTGGCTACCCCGGTATTCGGAAACTTCCGAAGAAACGAAGTAAAGAAGCATGTACGTCGCGTCGGGACAGCTTGGGGAGAGACTCATTCCTCATATCACTCAGAACGACCTGCTGTTCAGTGAAAAGTCAACAAATAAAATGCACTAATAGCATGTCGCTGCGTGCGTAAAGAGTATGCATTTTTTAGACAATTTTTACTAACATTCTGTGGCAGGCTGTATGTCACCGCATCAAGTACACCACATTATACACAAAGCAATCTCGAAGCTGTCGGCCACCGCCATTCCTGCGCACTGGGTGACTGTACCAAGAGCTGCACGCACCTCTTTCTCTCACTGAGTCCGTTTTCCCCACAAAACGCAGGAGCGCAAGAGGCTACGGCAGAAGTTCCCGCGCGAGAGCTTCTGTGAGGACGAGCAGGAGTGCCGCAAGCTGCTGGCGGCCTACCACAACTCGGTGCGGCCCTTGGAGCCCAGCCCAAGCATATGCCGGCGCACGCAGGGCTTGACGCCGCCTTCGTCTCCCCGAAGGCGCCGCCACCGCAGCCCGTCTCCGTCGGCAGGCCCCTCAACGAGCTACGCCAGGCCGCCCTGAGTGCGGTCCGGACACCCGAAGGGTGGTTGCAGCTCGCCGGGCCAGCTTGGCTCGCACGGGTGGCCACACTCTCTCGCTGTACCTTTGGCCCGAGGCGTACGTTGCCACTACTCGCTAGGCATACGGTCTCGCCCCAAAATGGCAGCGCAGCGGGCTCAGTGTGTGTGCCAGAGGAACCATTGAGCAGCGAAACTGATGCCTTTTCTGTTCATGCCCACACTGAATTGGCGAGAGATCAAGCTGCTCGCTCTATCAAAAAAAAATGGAGGTACTCCAGCCTCGTTTACGCTTTTCACTAGCAAAGGTGAGAACGGAGACGTTTTGAGAGAAGTGAAGCGTTAGAAGAAAGTGAACAAACGAGTGCATTCGGACAAAAAGCGAAGGTCTCTTCGCTTTGATTGTGGCACATTTCAAGTTTATAGAACTGCCGGCGAAATCGAAAACCTCTAGAAACGCGGCTTTGCACGCCCTTTCCTTTTCTTCCTTTATATGAGGAAAGAATTCACGTATGCTTTGGCTAAAACAAACAGATAACTGCGTTCTTTAGAACATGATATTTTTGTAGCACGTAACGTGAGAATCGATAGCAGTGACGAGAGAAGCGGCTGTCTGACTGTCATGATAACTTTGTTGCTAAACGTCCTTCAAGCATGTCCCTTTCTTTACTTTATCAAGTGGGCATAGTGTGATTGTCTCCCTATTTATTGTATTCTATTTTGTAAGCGCCGTGGTTAGTCCACAAATGTCAACACACCCGTCATAGGTCTTTGAGTGTCGATCAAAATATCGTGTTTGACACGGTGTTGACTAATGAGAATTGAAATTGTGAAAACTGTGAAAAGAGTGCTCAAGACAACAGCGAGAAAAGTGGACTAGTCGGCGTCTCAAAAAGGCACAGGAATATTATAGACAGCTGTTCAAAGTTTTATTTAGTATTGTTTAAAGCTCCCCGTAGTTTTTCACGGTCATTATCAAATGTCGTAGGCGTAGTAGCAATGTAGCTTGATTCAACGACGATCGTCGTCTTGAAATAGCTAGCAAAAAGTTCGTCGCAGACCTAAGGACATCAAAAAGGTGCTTAGCATACCTCACCTGTTTGAAAGAGGCGCTTGTTGTTGCTAGAAGAGCAAAAATATGTGTTGTGACATTTTCCACTGACGTAGCTCACGCTGCCGCTCATGAGAGTTCGGTTGATGTCAAATCTTGTGGTGCCTTTCTTGTTGGAGACTGCCTCAGTGTTGTTGATTCGTTTATTGGCAGTTACCGCTGAGTTGTACAATGTTAAGACATGTTCAAGCGTCGTGCGTGAAGGGTGTCGCAGCGTAGATTGACACTAACGTCAGGGCACGCTCAAAGACACTTTGGGCTGCGCACGTGCAACAACCGTCCATACCTTATCGCGCGCATCCCTCCTTGAAAGTAGAAGAGAAAAGTGATAGGGATAGGCTTTGTGCTCAGCCATGAGAAGGTTCAAGAGGTTGACGAAAGAGCAGTCATATCAAATACAAATGCACAGTCTCAATATTGGGAGCGCCGGAAATTAGACTTGCTGAGATTAGACGCCGCAGTTAACAGAAAGAACCGAAAACAAATCTGCGCATATATGTATATAATAAACGGCGATGTCCCCATAAATTGTGGTGGAAACACTCATTCAAAACACCTCTAAGCGTACGACTGTTGATAAACACCTGCGCTAACTTTAGTTGCTGTAATTTTTTTTTAATAATTATGATGACAGCATAAAAGATATAGGCCCACGAAGGTAACGCACTTGCTGTCATATAATCTAGAGAATGTAGTAATCTGTCTGAAGGTTTTCCTTCACTATAGGATAGAATAATTGAGACACCCAGTGGTCTGAGCAACCGAACGAGCTGTAGATCCCAAGCTGGTTCTTCTCGTTGGGACTGCGGTACCTGAAAACCTCTTGCGCCTACTCTAGCGTCTGAGATTTGTGTGTGCAAGGTCCAACGAGTTTATTTGTTTGCATGTGTTTTGTTCTTTTAAAAAACGAGCGTAGAGGACACAAATGTTCGAGATAAATGCGAAGAGTGGGGGCCAATCTTCACCTGTAAACAAAGGAAAATGTTCGCTTCAGCAAAACGCTGTCCTGACTTCACTGCGACGATGTGCCTGAAAGGAAACCTTTATTTATTTGCTCGGTTGCGTTCTCTCCGAAGTGATATCGCCAAATACGCTCGGACAGAACTCAAAGCATCAAGTAACGTGAAATGTTGTTAAATACAACAATAACTGTCTTTTTTTTCTTTTTTTTTCTTTACAAAACCATTACAAGCCGGCTGAGTCAAGAACGATAAAGAAAATCACATCCATCAAACACTTTTATATGGGTTAGTACGGTTCATTAACACACTAAACACAGATGAGTTCATTCCAAACGGTCCTTTGCCTCACTTATGATTAATTTTTTTCTTAATGCACCTGTTGTAATATCCAGATGACACGCAAAACTTAGAGCCTAAAGGTTTCAATCGCTATTGCTTTAGAAATGGATATATGACACGCGTTGAGTCCTTGTGCCAATTATCCACCGTTAAAAAAGGGGGGCCCTTCGACAAGCTCTCGCTGAGACAAGTCGTTTGCGTGGTGTTGTAAGCCAGGCGAAATGTGTAGTCACGCTATTATTTCATGAGGCCGAAACGTCCGCAGTGCTTGTTCCCCGTTTTTGTATGACGTGCCGCTTCAGTAAACTGATGACTCGATGAATGCTGTAAAGCAGAGGCCTAACAACGTGTTCAGAAACAAGTTTACTCGGGAGCCTCGCAAAGTACAGTCATAAAGATTTTGTTATAGTCGCGAAAGTTTATTACTAAAGGGCCTACTTCTTAAATAAACCATAACGCCGAGTCCAGGGCCCCTAACACGCGAGTGGGTTACAAACATAGATGAACGAAACTGTCGTCAAAAGATATACTTCAGTTAAAAGAAAAACGACTCAGTGTTGCAGTACTTGAAGTGCCAGAGGTTACTAATAATATCGCTTTCTCACTGCTGGCTCTAAGCCTGTTTAACAACCCCAATGATAACGCGACGTCTTTCGTTTAAAAGTCCATCGGCAGCGTCGCAATCCTTTGAGCCAACGCGTGAGACACTCGCAGCTTATCGAATGGACAGGCTTTAGCTGAATGAGACGCATGGACCTTGAACAGGTGAAAGGAGGCCGAATGCTCCAAACGCACCGCTCGAACTGTTTTCCTTTTTTGTCGTTGTTGTCGGTGTTTTATCAGATTTTATATTTATTTATTTACTTAGACTAGCCCTCAGCATCTCGCTACGTGCTCATCGCCTCGGTGCAGGCGTCAAATTCAGGCTCGAGTTTTTTTCCTATAGGAAATGCTGTGCGGCATCGAAGTATAGCATTTCACGTTTGTCGCTGTGAAGAGAATAGAAGAAAAAAAAAAAGGTCATACACACATAGAGGTTAATTCTGGTCAAGGAAGCACTCTAACGCAAGCAAGTTAACTTGTTCAGAGATGTAGGATTTGCTGTGCCTTTTTTGAACATAACAAAGTCATTCCTGCACTGTAAATAACACGTTTTTATAGCAGCAGATGTTTCCCTAGACTTTTTTGACTACAGCACCACCAGTCCATATATAAATATATAAAGATATATATTATATATAGATCAACTTCTATATAGAGAGAGAAAGAGACCATTTGCTCATTTTAACACTTCTGCTTCAGCAGACCTATACTCTCTAGCAATATTATCCTAGGGGTTAGTGACCAGTCCTGCGTGCCACTCTCTCGGCACGTACGTCCTGTAGCTTTCTCTTGGCGGCGCCTTTGCGTCGTTTTTCGCAGTTTGCTCCCGATGACCATTCAATTCCCTCCGCGCAGCCCGCTAATGCCTATATGGCCAACCCTTCGCACCGCGACCTCGAGAATACAAGAGTGCGCGCGTGCGAGTAGTTCGTAGCCGCTTGTCTGTATTTATATACTCGCTAGCTACCTTACCGAGAAAGGACTCGCAGGTGCCTCGGCAGTTTGTCCTTCGGAGGCCCGGCGGCGGTGCCTCACGCAGTGCACAAAGCCCGATGAGCGAAGCATGCGCGAGCGAACGTGTATTTTGGCTCACAACACGCAGGTCGTATCAATAGAGAGACCGTAAGACCTTCTGCGACGCATAGAAAGTAAAGTGAGTGGCTGACGCGTTCCCGGCTGTTTCCAGCAGCCGCCAGAAGGAGTGCATGGCGTCGCCTCACCGAAGTTCCATACGTGTACGAATTTCGTCCCATGTACACAGTGGGTCTACTCAGGTCCTGTCTCTGAAGAATTCGGCGGGAACTTTACCTAAGGAGTGTTTGTTCGTGAATTCATTCTCTTCTCGTAGAACTTACACTGCGAGTAGTGCGTGGTATGACCAAGCCGCAAATCAGCCCGTACGCCACGCGCGAGTGCTGCTTAATAATAATAATAATAATAATAATAATAATAATAATAATAATAATAATAAAAGCTCAGCACTCCTGGTGTCAGGATCATGAAGCTTTTCATTCATAACGTAAGAATAACGCTTTGGACGAGTTGTATGCCAAAAAGTTCAGGGAGTGTAGCGCATCTCAAACAGTGTCAAAGGAAACAAGAGTAGGGATTAGAAGAGAGGACGAGACGGCGACTCGAGCGCCATCGTCCTGTCCTCGCTCCAGCCCTTACAGCTCCGGGTCCTGTTACTCTGGGTTGCGCTGAACAGTCTCAAACTTCACGTTCACGAAGACGGTAGTAGCGGCCGCGCATGTGTGAAGGTCGTAAAACAGAAGAGGCCGCCGACGGGCTATTCGCAGATCGAGGAACTCGCGACGTCCTCCTTTAGACACCATCTTCTCACCGCTGTCACTTTTAATTAAGCTCGGGTACTAAATGTGATACACATTTCGAGTGCGCTAGCCCACCCGAAGGCGCCAATTGTGATTTTAAAAAAAAAGAACCACCACGTTCGTCTTTGTTCAGGTTGTGCAGAGCACTAACGTTATATACGATTACGCTCGCCCGGGTTGTCAACTGTACATAC